AATCCATCTGGTGGAGTCAGGTTAGCCCAATGGAGCTTTGGCTGAAACATGGAGATATCTCAGGTGTTTCCATTAACAAACATATTCACATGCAGTTTTAATTGTATTTTCTATTCAATGGAAACAGCGGAACTACAGGACTTTTCATTCTTTAATTTACTAGAATATCAACAAAGTTTGCGCACATTTGAATGGAAATGGAAATTCTTTAATGTTCTCAGGTCAGTGCTTTTGTGGGAACAAATGGAGTGGTCTAAAGCAGGCCTTAAGATTCAGTGCCCTCCTTTAGATGTTCCAACGGCTTCAACACACCTGAATGAAATGGCTGAAGTATCTCCTCAGGGCACAGAGTTCTACACAGGCTGCTAACGAACTGATTATCTGACTTACATCTAAAAGTTGCAGAACACCTGAGATTAAGGGACACTAAGGAACCGCTTATCTAAAGAGAAGAATCTCAAATGTTCATTTCACTGATATTTTAACTAAATAAACTTGTTTCTGCTCCGTTCTGTTTGGGAAAGTCTACTTTATATCAGTTTTGTTTGGTTTTTTATCACAGGGTTTTATGACAATCATAAAACTCATGAGGGGAGTGGTGGCCTAGATGTTAGGGCATAGAGCTTGGAATCCAGAGGTTCTGAGTATGAGCCCCACTCCCACTGACTGCCACCCTTAACCCCACCCTGCTCCCTGGGCGCCACACAATAGCAGCCCACTGCTCTCCAAAGAAATGGTTTAAATGCAGAGAGGGAATTTCTCCATTTTGAGATCAATAAAGTTCAGTTATATCATTATCCGTCCGTCCATCCGTCGATGAACTCTCCTTTTTCCACGGATGCTGAAAGAGTCACAAACCAGAAAGTATCTGTTGGGAAACATCTGTTCCCCTCCCAACAGCAGCAGGTCTAGTTTGCACCACTTCACATTTTGCAAGATTTTCAAGGTAGCATTTGTCAAGTTGTCATAATAGCTGGTTTCCCACTTAAATAAGCGGGTTAACACGGCTTTTTAAAAAAAACACGATAACGCGCTAGCAACCTGCATTTGATTCCCTTCCCATTGGAAAAAAAAATCTAAACATCTAGAGAAGTGCCGTCATTTAGCTCATAAATATCATCACTATCAACAGATGGGCAAAAACTCCCGGAAATAACTTACTTTGACTCTCGAACCGCATGAAGAGGCTTAGATAACGTCGTAAACAGCTGTGTTTTCTCGTGTATTGTGTTGTCAGTATGAGTATAAATGCTGCAGACGCTGCGGCAGACGTCAAGCATAATGAGCCCTTTATTAGAACAGATCTTCTTCTGTCGATTCAAGTTCAATTCTGCACTTTTTATTTTAACACTGCGCT